GTTTGTCATTTGCTTGAGGTAACCATGTCTAAAGGAGAGAACCAAGATTGGGCAGAATAAGAGACTGAACACTGATAAGTTAAAAACAGAGGTAACAGTTAATCCCATGGGGAGTTCTGGAGCTGGGGTGGCCCTTCAGGGGTGTCACAAATTGAGGCAAAGGAATTGGCCATTTGTACTCCTCATATGAACTAGTCAGTGGAATTGGGCTGCCCCTTGAAGGTGGACATTATCTTAGGTGTGGCACTTTCTTTGGCCCAAAAGAATTCCTGAGAGAATGGCAAGACGAGCCACTAGAACATTTCCAGCAGCTAGGGGAATGAGTGACTTAGCCCTGAAAGAAGAATCTGAGAAATATACCACTGTCTTCATTATGGCCCAACACTTATGCCACTTGGATGCACTTGCTTCTAAAAAGTAAATGCACACAGGATTCTGGTTAGTCATCTTGCTTGGAGAACCTTTCAAGAGGAAGATCGGTAGAACAAATTATAGACAGCTCTCAACAACAGATTTTCACGGTGTTGCAACTGATACTTTGTTTTTAAAAAGGTTTTATTTGACAGAGAGAGAAAGAGGGAGAGAGAGCGAGCACAAGTCGGGGGAGATGCAGTGGGGGAAGGAGAGAGACAAGCAGACTCCATGCTGAACGCAGAGCCTGATGTGGGGCTTGATCTCACAACCCTGAGATCGTGACCTGAGCTGAAATCAAGAGTTGGGCAGGCACTCAACCGACTGAGCCACCCAGGCGCCCCACAACTGATACTTAATCATCTCACTTCTACTATCCCATGCTAGTTTCCCTTCACCCTCGACTACAACCTCTGTTGGACTAGGTGGCTTACTTGGAGGGATGTTCCAGATCCTCACCCCTGAATCTGAACACCTGGTCAACATGCCCTTCTCAGGATACAGCTGCTGTATTTATTTATCAACAAAATTGGGGAGACATCCCAAAGGACCTGAGTGCCAAATGTCTTCTCTGCCCTCACGGTACAACAGAAGCCCCACATCCTCTGGCAGAGGATCACCTATGCCAGAAGCCAGGGTGACTTCTTTCCTCAGGTGCTGGTCTCATAGCAATCATAAAGGTCAATGGGACCCTTACTTTGCTGGCAAGTGTTCCCCCTCTGGAAACTAGAGCTTTTAGGTTATTTTGTGTGCTTTCCTCCCAAGAGCCCACGACCCATCTTATACAAACACTTATGAAGGCAACTGTTCTAGACTAGAGGTGGGAGCATCAGTGCTTTGACAATACCCAAGACAGTATAGTAGCTGACAGAATTCAGAGTAGATTCTGAGAAGCAGAAGCAGTGAACGGTTCTGGATAGCTTCCATTTGCCCCAGTGGACCCACTCTCTCTACCTTGTTGAACCTAGTAACATTAACCAATATGAGCTACATCAATGGGCTTCCTTGCCTTATGGCCTCTGGTTGGGTTTGGTCAGTGGGGAGCCTGGGCATGAAATCAGAAGGATGAAAGAAGATGAAGTCTAGCTCTGGCTATTTCTTGCAGAATGTGGGGCTGGATGCTACCCCTTACCTCCCAGCTCCTGGAATGCAGTTCTCTCCTGTCTCTGGATTTCAGTAATTGTTCCCTTCTCTTGCCCATTCAGGCTCAGGGATGTTAATAGAGCCCTGCCCTTACCAGCTACTAGGTACCAAACATTTCTTGTGGTTTCCCTACATCCTGTCCACAATGCAGTGAGTAATCCCTTTATGAAAACTCTACTTGAATTGTCCTCGTCTGTGTCAGTTGTTTTCCGTTGGGACTCTGAATGATATGCCCACTCATTCCAAGTGTAAGAAAAAGTCCTAATGTGACCCATAAAACCCAAGATCAGGATCCACCACGTCTCTGACCACATCATCTTCTACCACACCTTCACTATCCCCAACTTGTTCTACTCCAGTCTCATTGGCTTCTATGCTGTGGGACTTTGCATGCCAAGACTGCTCTTGCTACACAAATTCATGATTCACTGTCTCAACTCATTAAGGTCTCTGCTCAAGTGTCTCTTAACTAAGAGGCTTTCCCTTCCTTTTTTATATACAATGGCAAGATCCCAAACCCCCTTAGCTATTTTATAATGCTTTGCTTTTCTGCTCAACACTTATATTAGTGTGTTTTGATTCTTCTATAATCTGTCTTTCCCCCGTTAGAATGTAAGTGCTTCAATAGCAAAACTTGAGTTTCATTAATTGCTATAAACACCAGTGTCTTAAACAGTGCCTGGCATATAGATTATACTCAACAGATAGACTAGTGGTTAAGAGCATGGATTGTCTGGGTTCAAATCTGGGCTCTACCATTTACTAGCCAGGGAGCTCAGGCAAGTTACAGGTATACCATGTTAGTTTTCTCTACTGTAAAATGGGGATAATAATAGTATATACTTCCTTAAGCTTATATTGAGTACTCAATAATATCCATAAGGCATTCAGAAGAGGGCCTCATCTATAGGAGGGGCTATGTAAATGTTTAGTCATTTATTAATGTATTGAAATAATCCACTATAAAAAAATGATCCCAACATAAAAAGGAAAAATTCACAAGGAAAAAAACCTAATCCTGAATGTACTTATACATCAAAATATATAAAGAGAAAGATGACAGAAATGACAAAAAAAGTGTGAATCCATATCCATAGCCATAGCAGAAGACTTTAATACATATCTACCACTAAATAAATTTGAGGACAAAAATCTCAATGTACATACTATATCTGAAAACACAATTAGCTTGAGTTAATGGGCATATACTCTACATCTAAGACTTAGAGAATATACATTATTTTCAAAGAAACATGAAACACTTATAAAATGTGACCAACAAATAGGTTTACTAGTTAGATATTGCATTCAGCGGGACATGAACAGAACACCACCTCAAAAACAAACCAAAAAAAAAAAAAATGACTTTGGCTTCAACCAGTTAGAGGTTACTTTTAATCATATAGGACAAGTCTGGGAACAAGCAGTCCAGAGCTGATTCCACCAATCAGAAGTTTTGGGGGAGCCCATATCATTGTGATATTTTGCTGCACTATGGTTCCTGTCATCATGATCAAAACAGAGCGCTTCCAACTCTTGGCCTTGAGTCCACTTTCAAGAGAAAGAATGGGTAAGACAAACAGGATACAGGTGAGGCAAACAAGCCAGATGCTGTTCTTCTCCCCGGGGACTTCTACCTACTTCTCGTGGTCAGCAGAGTAAGGCAACAGCCCTCTGAGCTTCAAAGAAGGCTTGCAGATTGAGTATTTTCAATTCTATTCATTGACAACTTGAACAACAACAAAAACATTTTTAAAAAGTATATAAGTAGGGGAGAATGGACATTGGGAAAGAAGCTGACAAAATGCCATACTAGGGTAGAAAGATAAAAAAGAATCAGCATCATAAACTCCACTTACCTGACAAAGATGCCATTAAACTAGAAAAAGTATATTGTAAATAGAATCTAATTTCCACTACAATAAACAAATTCACTCAGGAGATATTCAGAAATGCCTTCCTGGATATGCTACGTACTGATATTTTAAAAGAGTAAATTATAGCAAACATATTACATACAAAACTATGGGCCATAACTTAAGGTTTATTTTTGGGTACGGTTATATAGATGTGTTTATACTAAAACAAAAAGACCAAAAACTAACGAACTAGTGGCCCAATCTTAGGATGAGAGACATTGATAAAGGTAATCCCACACTCACTATTTATTCTTTCGGTTTCTAGTTTATTTTGTGGCCACTCAGTAAAGAGCTGAGGCATCCTCATACTGATTACTTCTCTAGGGTCTGCCTCCAATGTAAGTTCTCACAAATCAACAAAGAATCACTGCAAGATTTTTCCAAATTAATACACTGACAAGTTTTGCATCCAGAGAAAACTTCGTATTTTTCCTAATGTACGAGGTATTATCCAAGGCATTCCCCTAGTCTTTGTATTCACAAGTGTCTGCGGTGAATTCTCAGTTTCCTAAGGAATGTGGAAAAATGACTTTCCAGGACCGATGACATTCAACAGGACCTTCTCTCCGGGATAAATCCTCATGCTTCTTAGAGACTGAGAGACCATTCAAGGCTTTCCCACAGTAATTGTGTTCAGAATATCTCCCCATCTTTTGCTCAGTAATGCGAACACTTGTGCTGAAGGATTTTCCACCTTCTTTCTATGAATATTCCTCTGTAGGGATTTCCTACATGTGCTCCCAGGGATGGGTCACCCTGAAGGCTTTTGCATTCTGATGATATTCATAAGGTTTTCTCCTTAGTGTGAACTGTCATGTGACTCCCTAGAACTATCACGAAGGCTTTCCTACAGCTACCGCATTCTTCAGGTTTCTCCCTGTAAGTAATCTTTTGTGCATGTTAGGGTGAGTCTGAACTGAAAGCTTACCACAAAGATTGCACGCTTGAGGTTTCTCTCCAGAGTGAATTAACGTGAGTTAGTGAAGGCTACTTCGTACAGAATAGATTGAAAGAATGAGAATGGCAAGCTTCTCAGACGGTTCCTTACGATCTGTCTCCTACTACGCATACCCTGTGCAGTTTCTTTCCACATTGTGTGAGCAATACAGTCTGGAAGAAGTGATGATATGTCCTTCTGAGGCTAGGTCGAAAAAGAAAATGTGGCTTGTGCGTTAGCTCTCCCACAGATCAAATGCTTTGGGAGGAACCTGCTGCTACATCGTAAAGATACTTAGCCCTGTGGAGAGTGAGGTAACGAAGGTTCCCTGCCAACAACTGGCATTAACCTGCCAGATATGTGAGTGATCCATTTTGGAAGTAGATTCTTCAGCAGTAAAGACTCAGATGAGTGTTGCTCCAGCTGACATCTTGACCTCACTTCATGACAGATCCTGAGCCAGAACTACACAGCTAAGCCGTTTCCAAATTCCTGACCTACAGAAACTGTGAGATAATTAATGTATGTTGTCTGAAGCCACTATGGTTTGGAGGGAAATCTGTTATGGAGCAACAGATAACTCATACATCTAGTGAGTTACCATCAGTTGTCTGAGAATTAAGAAATCAATGACTGCTTTCCTAGTTATTGTATTCATATCCACCTATTATGTATTCTCTTGTGCACAGAAAGGTAAGAGTTAGTGGTGAAAGATTTTCCACAATGATTACATTCGTAGGGTTTTTCTCCAGTGTGAGTTCTCACGTGTTTCTTAACAGCTGAAAGATTATTAAATGCTTTCCCACAGTTACTGCATTCATAGGGTTTCTCTCCAGTATGAATTCTCTTGTGCACAGTAAGAGAAAAACTACTGCTGAAGGATTTTCCACACTGATTACACTCATAGGGTTTTTCTCCAGTATGAGTTCTCATATGCTGTGTCAGGTATGAGCTCTTCCTAAAGGCTTTCCCACAATCGTGGCACTCATAAGGTTTCTCCCCTGTATGAATACTATTGTGCCCAGTAAGGGAGGACCTCGTGCTGAAGGCCTTGCCACACTGATTACATTCATGGTGATTCTCTCTCGTATGAATTCTCTTGTGGCTTTTGAGGTTACAACTAGTGCGAAAAACATGAAAACACTGATTACATTCATAGGGTTTTTCTCCAGTGTGAATTCTCACGTGCAGTCTAAGGGATGAGGGATCATTGAAGGCTTTCCCACAGTCATTGCACTCATAGGGTTTCTCCCCATTATGTATTCTCTTATGAATAGTAAGGTAAGATCTACTGCTAAAGGATTTGCCACACTGATTACAGTCATAGGGTTTTTCTCCAGTATGAATTCTCTTGTGCTGAGTGAGGTTAGATTTTGTGCTGAAGACTTTAAAGCACTGATTACATTCGTTGAGTTTCACTCCAAGATGATTTCTTTCCTGTTGATTAAGAGATGAATGATAACTATAATTTATAGTATTTTTAATATTCAATTAATTTTATGCATATGAACTCTTTCCCAGGAATTCTGTTACATTATTACAATTGATGTTTTGGCTATTTTCAGTGCTTGTATATGGCTTCTGCCCAGTCTGAGCTCTTAGAAGTTAAAAAAGATGGAGGCTTTGCCACAAGTCCTTATCATATTCATTGAACATCTTCTGATAAACTCTGGTAAACCACTTTGTATTTCAACAGTCAATATCTTAGTCACATTTAAGGAAACATTTACTTGTAGAAACTCCCAGTGAAGAAACAAGTTTGGGGCTAACTTACAGTTTTCTCCAAAATCACAACTTTTAGCAGTATCTCTCCAGAGACACAATTTCGTATTGTGTAAATGACTTTCCTTTAATGACTCTGTTCACTTTGTGACTTTCCTAACTTATTCTCCTACTGTGAAAAACCAGAAATCAGCCATGTTAGTCTTACCGCTTTTATACCATTGGAATGTTCTTTTCTAAAATCATGCTTCTTAGGAGTTAACCATTTGGCTTTAAGTACAGTCTCCAAATCTGGAAAAAAAAAAAGAAATTTAAGTTGATGGAGAAAAGAAATAGTAAAGTGCACACATGAGTAAACACAGACTCTGAGGGATCAGCATTTTTGAGGAGGTTTGCCATGCAAGGAATAAGAGTATGAAAGCTATAGATATTTAAAAAGTGGTTTTGAAGGATTAAGACTGATCAGAGATTTATAGAAGGGATTATCAGGAATGCAAAGTAGGAAGGCACTGGACAAAATGTTCATATGAGATTTATTTAAAAAGGAAAAGGACCATTATAGCATTGCGTGGTGACAGATGGTAGCTACACTTGTGGTAAGCAGAGTATAACTTATAAACTTGTCAAGTCACTACACTGTACACCCGAAACTAATGTAACGTTGTATGTAACTACACTTCAATTAAAAAAAAAGAAGGAAAAGAGGCATGTCTTTTTTTTTCCCCATCTGACTCCAAGGTAACCTATGAGATGTTGAACAGAAAGGTAAAAAGGAAAGAAAGAATGTACAGAAGGAAGCTCATACCCAACGTTCTTGACCATCTTTGTCAGAGAAAAGTACATTGTACAATCTTCCCTGTCGGACATTTCCTAAATGTAATACTCCCATGCCCCAAATCACTGGCCAGAGCTACTCCTCAAAAAGACTCATATTCGGGCGCCTGGGTGGCTCAGTTGGTTAAGCGACTGCCTTCGGCTCAGGTCATGATCCTGGAGTCCCGGGATCGAGTCCCACATCGGGCTCCCTGCTCAGCAGGGAGTCTGCTTCTCCCTCTGACCCTCTTCCCTCTCGTGCTATCTCTCATTCTCTCTCTCTCTCAAATAAATAAATAAAATCTTTAAAAAAAAAAAAAAGACTCATATTCACCTGTCCACCTGGTGCTCACCTGGACAGGTGCCTGGAAGAATTCCTCGCTCCTCTGTCATCACCTTGTCTTCTTGCTCCAAATGGGAGATCAGACTGGGTTTATCAATATGATACCCTATTCATGGAGAAAAGACACATGATATTGGGTGACTGTACAGGTGACAAGCAACCCCATGAAACTGGAGCCAACAATTCTGAAGATGATCAAGTATGACTTTTGCAGCAGTGGAATAACTACACATAAATTGTAATGAATATAGTTAACTCCCAAGAAACCAAAATTCAAGCACACTCAATATCCAGGTGACAGGACATAAACAGTCCCAAAGTCCATACCCAAGTTTACATACATACTTCGGAAGCTCTAAAGCTTTTAACCATGGAGAATATAAAGTCAGGGTAAGGAATAGCTATTCAGTTCATAGGGAAGGCATCAGACAGAAAGCTCCATGAGGGTGGGGACCACGTCTGTCTCATTCATCACTGTATGATGGACACACTGTATTCCTAAACCCAGCATAGACCCAGGGACTCAGAAGTGCTTCAGAAAGACTGGTGAGAAGTAACAACAGTGAAAACTGAGGGATACTGACCCAGAAGTCCGTAACTCTACAAAAACAGTGAATAACATGGGGAAAACCATTAGAATCGACTTTATCAGAACTTTGGAAACTTATCAAAAGTTTACAGCAACTTGGAAAATGTTTAACCAAGAACAACAACCGGCTGACATTTTCACTAACCCTTGTGTCATCCTCTATTCCCTGCTTTGGCTGTGACCTTGAAGATCACAGCCCACATGCCTACTACGAGAGGGAGCAGGATGGACCTTATTCTCAAAGTTCTGTGGTTGTTTGTTTTGATCTTTCTGAAGGTTTGACTCAAAGGGCTTGCCTTTATTTATCTAATCTCAAACTCTCCCAGGGCTGTGCTGGGGACTCAGGGGGCAGGTGCTGAATACATTTCAAGGCAAATATATTAGCCACCACTGCCTGAGGCCTATGAAATAGTACAGGAAAAGAAAAGACTAACCAAGAAGCTTGGGAGGAAAAGTGAGAAATAAAATATTTTGGGGAATTTTTAAAAGTTTCCCTCCCATTTCTTTGAATCTAAGAAGGCCAGGATTGGGCACGCTGCTCAGAAAAGAAAGTGAAAATTATGGCAGAGTTGTAAACTGCCTGCTGATTTTGAAGGTATGTCCCTATACACACACAAACACATCTGCAGAGACCACAGGTTTTTCCTTTTTGTTTGAGGCCTTCAGGAAAATCTCTGACAAACTGCTAGCTAACCATGAGGTTAACATAAGTCTTCAGGGACCACACATGACAAATACAGACATTACACAATTAGTTCAGGAATATCATTAAACATACATAGAACAAGCAACAACAAATTTTGGTGATGGGGAAAAATCTGATTCCAGAATTGCCATATAATAACGTTCCAAATGTCCATTTTTCAACAACAAACTTTTGAGGTAGGCGAAGAAATAAAAGTGTGGCCCATTACAGAAAAAAAAATTCCTCCCTGAGGAAGCCCAACCATCAGACTTCTAATCAAAGAATTTAAATAAACTATTTTAAAGAATATCAAAGACCAAAAGAAAACTGTGTATAAAGAATAAAGGAGGGGGGCGGAGCAAGATGGCGGAGGAGGAGGAGACCTGGATTTCGTCTGGTCTCAGGAATTCAGCTGGATAGGGATCAAACCATTCTGAACACCTAGGAACTCAACAGGAGATCGAAGAGAAGAATAGCA